TTCTTAATCCCTTCACCTTCTCAGCCCTACAACGCCCCGCTCAACCATCAGTTTGTTCTCTGTATCTTTGGGTCTGTTTCTGTTTTGTTTGTTCATTTATTTTGTTCTTTATACTTCATATATAAGGGAAGTCATATGGTATTTGTCTTTCTCAATCTGACTTATTTCATTTAGCAAAATACCCTTTAGGTCCACAAAATTTGTCACAAATGGTAAGATTTCATTCTTTTTGATGCCAGAATAATATTCCACTATATGTATACATATATGTATAGAGAGATATCTATATCTATAGATATAGATATAAATATCTATATCTATAGATATCTATAGATATCTATAGATATCTATAGATATATATATCGCATCTAATTTACCCAGATGTCTGTTGATGGGCATTTAGGTTGTTTCCATATCTTCGCTATTGTGAATAGCACTTCAGTGAACATAGGGGTGCATATATCTTTTCAAATTAGTGTTTTGGATTTCTTCATATAAATACCCAGACATAGAGTTGCTGGATCATAAGGTAGTTCTATTTTTTAATTTTTTGGGAAATTTCTAAACTATTTTCTATAGTGACTGCACCAATTTGCAGTCCCACAAACAGTGCACAAGTGTTCCCTTTTCTACACATCCTCGCCAACACTTATTGTTTGTTTATTTATTGATGATAATCATTCTGCCAGGGGTGAAGTGGTATTGCATTGTGGTTTTAATTTGCATTTCTCTGATGATTATTGATGTTGCCCATCTTCTCATATGTCTATTGGCCATCTGTATGTCCTCTTTGGAGAAATGACTTTTCAGGTCCTTAGCCCATTTTTTAATTGGATTTTTTTTGTTTTTTTGGTGTTGAGTTATATGAGTTCTTTATAAATTTTGGATAATAGGCCCTTAGCAGATGTATCATTGGCAAATATCTTTTCCCATTCAGTAGGATTTCTTTTCAGTTTGTTGATAGTTTCCTTTGCTGTACAAAACCTTTTCAGTTTGATGTAGTCCCATTTATTTATTTTTTCTTTTGTTTCCCTTGCCCAGGGAGATAGATATATCAGAAACAAATATTGCTAAGGGTAATGTCGGAAACTTTACTGTCTATGTTTTCTTCTAGGAGTTTTATGTTTTGGGGTCTTACATTTGAATTTTTAATCCATTTTGAGTTATATATGGTATATGAAAGTTGTCCAATTCATTTTTGTTTTGAATGCATCTGTCCAGTTTTTCCCAGCACCATTTATGGAACAGACTGTCTTTACCCCATTATATATTCTTGTCTCCTTTGTCATACATGAAATGCCTATATAGGTGCTGGTTTATTTCTGGGCTCTCTATTCTGTTTCATTGATCTATGTGTCTGTTTTTACACCAAAACACTGCTGTTTTGATTACTATAGCTTTGTAATGCAGTTTGATACCAGGTAGCATGATACCTCCAACTTTCTTCTTCTTTCTCAAGATTTCTGTGGTTATTTGGGGTCTTTTATGGTACCATATAAATCTTAGGATTATTTGTTCTAGTTCCATAAAAAGTGCCATTGGTATTTTGATAGGGATTGCACTGAATCTATAGATTGATTTGGGTAGTATGGGCATTTTAACTATATTAATTCTCGCTATCCATGAGCATGATATATGCTTTTATTTATTTGCATTCTCTTTAATTTCTCTCTTCAATGTCTTATAATTTTCCAAGTACAAGTCTTTTACTTCCTCAGTTAAATTTATCCCTAGGTGTTTTATTTTATATTTTTGATGGGATTGTTTTCTGAATTTCTCTTTCTAATAGTTTGTTATTGGTGTATAAAAATACAACCAATGTTTTAATATTAATTTTGTATCCTGTTACTTTACTGAATTCATTTATCAGTTCTAATTGTTTTTTGGTGGAATATTGGGGATTCTCTATAGATAGCATAATGCAAATAATAACAGTTGTACTTCTTCCTTTCCAATTTGGGTGTCTTTTATTTATTTTTCTTGTCTGAATGATGTGACTAGGGCTTCCAGTACTATGTTGAATAAAAGTGATGAAAGTGGACATCCTTGTTTTGTTCTTGATCTTAAGGAATGCTTTTAGCTTTTCACCACTGAGTATGTTAGCTGTGGGTTTGTTATTAATGGCCTTTATTTATTTTTTTTTCCTAGCTGAGCCATGCTGCTACCTGTTGGCAGCTGTTGGCAGCTCAGCTCAGGCTGGGAATCTAACCGGCGAACCTGTTGCTCAGAGCTCACACTCTTGAATGTGCTCTTAACCAACTGAGCCACTCGGCCAGCCATAAATGGCGTTTATTATGTTGTGATAAATTCCCTTTATTCCTATATTGCTGAGAGTTTTTATCATAAATGAATGATGGATTTTGTCAAATGATTCTTCTGCATCTATTGATATGATCATATGATTTTATCTTTCATTTTGTTTATGTGGTGTATCACATTAATTGATTTGCATATATTGAAACAACCTTGCATCCCAAGAATAAGTCCCACTTGATCATGGCTTATGATCTATTTAATATATTGCTGAATTTGGTTTGCTAATATTTTGTTGAGCTTTTCTGCATTTATGTTTATCAGGGATATTGGTATATATATATATATATATATATATATATATATATATATATATATATATATATATATATATATCTTGTAATGCCTTTGTCTGGTTTTGGAATCAGGGTAATTGTCGCCTCGTAGAATGAGATTTGGAGCCTTCCCTCCTCTTGAATTTTTTGAATAGTTTGAGAAAAGGTGTTAATTCTCCTTTGAATGTTTAATAAAATTTACCTGTGAAGCCATCTGGTCTAGGACTTTTGTTTTTTGGGGAGTTTTCTGATTACTGATTCCATTTCACTAGCGGTAATCATTGATTCAGATTTTCTGTTCCTTTTCATTTTAGTCTTGGAAGATTGTATGTTTCTAGCAGTTTATCCATCTCTTCTAGATTACCCAATTCGTTGGTATATAATTGCTCATAGTATTTTCTTATTATTATTATTATGTTTTTTTGTATTTTTGTGGTTCCCATTGTCATTTCACTTTCGTTTCTGATTTAATTTATTTTGGTCTTCTCTCTTTTTTTTCTTGATGAATCTGGTTAAAGATTTATAAGTTTGGTTTATCTTTTCATAGAATCAGCTCTTGGTTTTATTGATATTTTGTATTTTTTTAGACTGTATTTTATATATTTCCACACTGATCTTTACTATTTCCTTCCCTCTACTCACTTTGGGCTTTGTGTGCTGTTCTGTTTCCAGTTTCTTTAAGTGTAAAATTAGATTGTTTAGTTGAGATTTTTCTTGTTTCTCATGGTGAGCCTGTATTGCTTTCACTGTACCATAGAGTTACGGTCATTGTGTTTTTGTATTTATTTCTCTCAGGGTACCTTTTGATTTCTTCCTTGATCTCATTGCTAACCCATTAATTATTTAGTAGCATTCAGCCTCCATGTGTTTGTGTGATTTTTAGGGTGTTTGTTTGTTTGTTTGTTTGTTTTCTGTAATTGATTTCTGGTTTCATACCATTATGGTTACTGAGGACACTTGATATGATTTTAGTCTTCTTGAATTTATCAAAACTTGTTTTGTGACCTAATATGTGGTCTGTCCTGGGAAAGTTCCATGTGCACTTGAAAAGAATGTTTATTCTGCATCTTTGGGGTAGAATGCCATTAAAATGTCAATTTTATCACCTAGTCTACTGTGTCATTTAAGTCTGCTGTTTTCTTTTTGATTTTCTGTCTAGAAGATCTGCCCATTGGTGCCAATGGGGTGTTAAAGTCCCCTACTATGATTGTATTACTGTTGATCTATCCCTTTATGTTGTTCAATATTTGCTTTATATATTTAGGAGCTCCCATGTTGGGTGCATAGATGTTTACTAGGGTTATAGCCTTCTGTTGGATTGATCCTATTATCATTATGTCATCTCCTTCTTTGTCTCTTACTATAGTCATCATTTTAAAGTCTGTTTTGTCTGATGTAAGTATTGCTACTTCAGCTTTGTTTTTTTATCATTTTCATTTGCATGAAGTGTATTTTTCCATCCTTTTACTTTCACGTTATGTGTGTCTTCCTATCTGAAGTGTGTCTCTTGTAGATAGCATATATATGGGTCTTGTTTTCTTATCTATTAAGCTACCCTATGTCTTTTGATTGGAGCATTTAATCCATTTACATTTAAAGTGATTATTGATAGATACATAGTTATTGCCATTGTATTATTGATATTTTTTTATCTTTTTTACCCTCCTTCTTCTTCTTAAAGAAGTCCCTTTAACATTTTTGGTAATACTTTCTTGGTGGTAATGAATTCCTTTAGCTTTTCCTTGTCTGGAAAACATTTATCCCCTGCTTCAATTTTAAATGATAGCTCTGCTGGGTAAAGTAGTCTTGGTTGTAGGTCCTTTCTTTTTATCACTTTGAACATTTTGTCCCAGTCCCTTCTGGCATGCAAAGTGTCTGTTGAGAAATCAACTGATAGTCTTATATGAGCTCCCTTGTAAGTAACTAGTTGTCTTTCTCTTGTTGCTTTTAAGATTTTCTCTTTGTCTTCAGCCTTTGCGATTTTAATTATGATGTGTCTTGGTGTTGGCATCTTTATGTTCTTCTTTTTGTGACTCTCTGCACTGCCAGTTATAAAATTAGTCACAGGGATGTAATAATATACAGCATAGGGAACATAGGAAATAATATCGCAATAACTGTGATGGGTACTATACTTACTGTGGTGATCACTTCATAAGGTATATAAATGTCTAATGACTACATTGTACACCTCAAGCTAACATAATATTGTATGTCAACTATACTTAAAAAAACAAATTTTAAAAAAAGATACTTGTAAGATTATTTTAATGGAATGATAGCTGGGCATTGTTTAGAAAAACTCTTTACTCCTGGGCAGTAGTTTAATCCATATTGTCAAATGAGTAATTGGCTCAACTAGACAATTCTGTTCCTTAATTCTGTGTGTTTTTGTTTTTGTTTTTACTATAGCTTCGGAAAGCAGTGATGGATCACATATCTGATTCTTTCTTGGAAACCAACGTCCCTTTGCTAGTTCTCATCGAGGCTGCAAAGAGTGGGAATGAAAAAGAAGTGAAGGAATATGCCCAGGTTTTCCGTGAACATGCCAACAAGTTGGTGGAGGTAAGTCAGGAGAGGCCTGAAGACTAGAATTAATCCACAGGTGTAATCTCTCCACATGGTTGTGGGAGTTTCAAAAGATAGCCCTTTTGTGGTTTTACCAGAGAAATAACATCCTGGAACCTTGCTTTCCTTTACCTCCTGAGGACTCCACCCCTTGCAAAGGAAACAGGTTATCAGGAGTCTCTTTTCTCTATCCCACATGCTAAATATGATCTGGAACATGCCTGTTCATTTTCCGGAACAATAGGCAGAGTCTGAAACAGAAGTAGAAGGAATATTCCAAAGTGCTGAATTTAAGGGAGTGGAAACTGCCAAATGGAGGTTTAAACTGCTCCCTTTCTTCCTTCATACTCTCTTTCCACTCTACCAACCTAACATAGCTTAGCTCTTCACATTATGAGCTTGTGAAAGAAAAATTCCACTTCCCCCAAGAGATGTTTAGATTCCTGCTGAAGGATCTTGGGGCACTAGTAGGAGTGTAAGTTCAGGGTCAGAAGTATATTTTATGTGTTAGAGAAATCTGTGGGAGTTGTTTTATAAATGCAAAATTGTGCTGTGTAATATTGAAAAACCATTTTTTTAAGGGAAACAAAATAAAAGTGAAATGGTTACCATGCTGCCTGAATCTAGGAGCTGAAAAGCAACAGCTCTTGGCAAAGGTTGCATTTAGTAACGTGCAGCTAAACAGAAAATTAGAGATGTTAAACAGGAAATGTGTGTGCTAAAGGAAAAAAGCACAGGAGAACAAGGATCCTGGCAAATTTAGGAAATGTTTGTCACAACCTGGTTAAAACTTTTGCAGGCTCTGAGCACTTAACAAAACAACTACAACACCTACAACAAACGTCTGGTATATCCCCACTTTAATTCAAAATAAAATAAAATTGCTCAAAATGACAGACAACTTAAAGTAAGCTAAAAGCAATACTTTTGTTTTCCATTTAGAATGGAAAATTTAAGTTCTGAATAAGTTCACCAAATGTGAAATCCTCTCCATTTTTCTCGGAGTGAGTAATAGGGTTGTGTTCCAATTTAATTGTGCCCTAATCATCTGTTTAGTTTCCTCTTCAGTTACCCCAGCACTGCTATTACCTCTGGGGCTGAAGACATCCAGGCAGCAGGAAGTCCTGCATTAGGTGCAAAGGAAGCCCCAGGTCTTAAAGGACACGGGCTGAGCCATCACCCAGGGCAGCAGTCAACTAATTGAGTCCAAAGTAATGGAACCTCTGAACTTCTAACCACGCGACTCCAGCCTAGAGCTAAAACTAGGGCCATAGTTTTGATATCAAGTCAGTCTTTCTGGCTCTGCCCCCACCTATGGGCCAAGGACTCCCATCACCGCATACATTCCACCCATATTTTCTGAGAGTTCACTTGGCCATTGAAGAATCCAAGGTCTTTCTAAGGTTTTCCTTGAAAGTCCTGGCCACTTCCATGTCTTGAGAAAGAGAAGGTGAAGAAGGAGCCTGGGGGGAGGGCTCAAGAGAGAGGAAGAGGAGGAAAAGAAATAATACCAAATGAATGCTACTAAATATTCATATGTAATAAAATAATAGTATTAACATACAGATAATAGTATTAACATACAGATAACATTTATATACTTACAATAGTTATAAGATACTTGCAAAATTTATAGAAAATGTTAATTAATTGTGTGTTATGGGCACTGTAGATGAAGAAAGGGACATATGTTTAAAGTTGTGTGATAAGCATCTCCTACTTTCAGTCCTGTCAGCGTTTTTCTGTAGTTCTGTATATAGCCTCATTGACCGATAATACTTAAAGTTCAAACTTGACACCCTGGACACATTCACCATTTTGCCTTGTCCCATTCATACGTTTCACTGTAGGAGAATCCAACCACTATGAGTGATCCTTGATAGTCAAATTGTGGCAGACACAGAAGGCTCGGGTCCAATAGAGCCCACATTCCAGAAAGTTGCTGCTTTGCCCCCCTTAGTTATTCCCTTCATTACACATTGTGGCAAGGGGTGGGGTGGGGTCACTGCAGCCAGCAGAATTTCAGAACGTCGTCATGCCCAGGAGATGTAAGGGCTAGAATGCAGACTGGCCTGTTTGATTAGAGAGGAATTAGAACCAAAGGAATTTTTGTAGCTTACAAGTGCCTCATTGCTGATGCAGACATGTGAAAAAACTTGGAGCTGAGAGTTTTTCTAATTTTGAAAGTGTCTCTGTGGATTTGAGCACCTTTGTGGATCTAAATAGTTGTGTTTGTAATATGAAAAAAAAATTTGATATATTGATTTTATATCCATTGACCTTGATAAATTCACTTACTAATTCCAAAAGTTTGACTGTATTCTTTAGGAGTTTTTATGTACATAATCACGTTGTCTGTGAATGATGACAACTGTATTTCTTCTTTTCCAATCCTTATTATCTTGTTTTTTCCTCTCATTATTGCACTAGCCAGACCTTCAGTACAATGTTGTTGTAATAAATATTTTTGTAATTTACAGATCCCTGTGAGAAAATTTAAATACTTTACCATTAATCACATTGTTTGTTCTAGATTTCTTGCACACAGTTGCATTAGATTATTTTAGCTCTCTTCTATTATTCCTTTGCTTAGCTTTTTTTTTAAATCATAAATTGGTGTAGAGCTGTATCAAATGCATTGCCTGCACATTTTGAGATGATTGTCTGATTTTTGTCTTTTTTATTTTCCTTTAGAGGTATTGGTATCAAAATTAGTTTTTCCCTCAAAAAATGAGTAAGAAATTAGTCCTTCTTTCTACTTTTTGGAAGTGAATTAATGTGTAAGACTGACATTATTAATTTTTAAAATATTTGGAGTAATTCACTCAGACAGCAATCTGAGGAAAAGTTTAAAAATTGCTGATGGATTTTTTTTTTTTTTTTTACTACTAAACATAAGACTTTAAATGTTCTTTTTCTTTTTGGGTTAGTTTTGGTAAGTTGTGTCCTAGGAATTTGTTATTTTCATTTAATATTCTAATTTTTTGACATAAACTTATCCATCTCTTCTTATTTTTTTAATGTGTAAGGATCTGCATTATTGTTTTTCCCCCATTCCTTATATGGCTAATTGGTGCCCTTTTTTTCTTCATTAGTTTTGCAGTAGGTTTATCAGTTTAATAATCTTTTTCTGAAACCTAGGTTTTAGCTTTGTAGGCATTTTTTGTGCTACTTTATGCTTTTATCTTTATATTTCTCTTTTCTGCTTCTAGTATAACACTATTCTTTTTCTAACTTGATGAAATTTATAATCACATCATTTATTTTTAACCTTTCTTATTTTAATAATATACTCATATGTATTTAAGGCTATAAACTTCTCCCCAAGCTATGCTTATGTTTAGTTATTTTCTACTGACCTAATTTTTAGCTCACACATCCTGTCTCCATCTGTGTACAGTATATTTGATTTATTAAGTTCATTTTATTAAAGAATTTCTAGTTGATTTTCTACAATTGATGTCAGTCTTCTAGTAAACATCATTATCAGGCTATCTTCTTTAAAAATATATTATTCATAGTTATTTTTTAAATCTAAGTCAAAGAATGCCAACATTTGGGTCAATTTTGTTTCTGTTTTGTGTTTGCCATACAGAGGGCAAACTTCACCCTCCTCCCCAAATTGGTTTGAGTTTTAAGGCTGATGATGCAACAACAGTCACCAAGAGGGTATGAACAGATTTTTTTCTCACATAATTGGACTTTCTGTGGAGGGAAGAACAGGACCCTAGCCAGCCCACTGTGGCTTCAGCAAAGAGAACAGGTGGTTTGGATTCTTATCCTGTTAGGGAGTGGGGCTAGGGTCAAGCTTTCCATGTGATGGCTGGAGTTTGAATGATTCAAACTTTCCTACTGCTACCAGAAAATGATAGGCTTTTTATATCAGCTTGCCCAGTTGTGGAGCAAGATGAAAAGGGGGAAAAACAGGGCTTGTTATCAGCCAAACTTCTAAACTGGAGTAAGATTGTTCATTGCAATTCACCCCTGAGGTTTGACTGATGACTAGAAGATGCCATGTTTCCTTTAATTGAATCTGGACTTAGGTTAGCTATTAAGGAGCTCTATGAGGCTTTCAAAATGGAGACAAACTTTATTATGGTGTTTTTTTATTATTTGATTTTTATCTTAATATTTTTTATATGCCAGGTAACTTTTGATTGAATGGCAAACATTTGTACAGAAAAACATAGAGGGTATGTGTCCTAGTCTATTCAGACTGCTATAGTAAAATACCATAGAGCGGGTGACTTATGAACAACAGAAATTTATTTCTCATAGTTCTGGAAGCTGGGAAGTCCAAGAATGTGTGTGTTGTGGTGAAAGCACTCTTCCTGGTTCACAGCTGGCACCTTCTTGCTGTGTCCTCACATAGTGGAAGGGGTGAGGGATCTCTGTCATGTCCCTTTTATAAGAGCATTAATCCCATTCATAAGGGCTCAACTTTCATGACATCAAAACCTCCCAAGGCCTCACCTCCTAGTGCCATAACATTGAGCATTAGGATTTCACCATATGAATTTTGGAGGAACACAAACATTCAGGTCATAGCAGTCTGGATAATGTTTTCTCCCTCCAGAGAGAATCCTGTCCTCTGAAGGGCAGCAGAGAGTCAGACCATCTCAATCCATCAAGGATTGAAGCAACTTGAGGATTGTTTGTAGTCTTCCTCAGGCACAGCCAGCCTTTCTTATACCCCACTTCTGTGGAATAGCCTTCCAGGGGTGCCAACAGAGGACCGGATGTGTTAGTATCCCATCTCATTTGCGAAGCATTTATTCCAATTTTTGTTTTCCCAACATGAACATGGTGAGATGGCCGTAAAGTTTGCTTTGTTTTGTTTTTTTTATGCTTTCAATTTACTTTTTTACTGTTGCTATACATAACTTAATAGACAAAGATCTTGGGAGAAAATTGGTGATCAAGCGCCAGGCTTTGAACCTAACTTTTCTATGGGACTTTAGTTCCAAGTCTTTGCTTCCTTGGCTGTTCTGGACCCG